AGTCCTGGCCCAGCCCTGCAACTTCTGGGGGCCTGGCGTGCACACCTCTGTTCCTGACTGTCGTCACACCCAACGCCTCCCCTCTTCACTCTCCTTTCACTCCCCACAGCAGACCTGTCCCCAGGTTCTAGTGGCTTTAGCTTAAGGATACACTCAGCGCCCCACCACTTCTCACCGTCACCCTGCGCACGCCGGCCCAGCCCCCTCGTGCCTCACCTGGGCGCTGCTTAGCCCCCGCCAGCTTCCCTGCTTTTGCTTTTGCCCCTACTATCTTTTTTCTCCTTCGTAGCCAAGGTGATTCTTTTCAAACCTAAATCAGATCAAGTCACTCGCTTCCTCTTAAGCCTGTAGTGGCTCCCGAACTCATCCTGCCCCTGAGGGCGCTGGGGGCCAGCCCTGCCTACCCCGGCCCCTGCCTGCCGCACCTCGCTAACTGTGCTGCTGCCACGCTGCCCTCCCTGTGCCTCCTCAACACGCTGAGCTCATTCGCACCCCAGGGCCTTTGCACTTGTGGTGACCTCTCTCTGGAATGTTGGCCTTCTGCTCGAAGTCCACTTCCTCAGAGCCCCCGTCCCCGGTCACCCAGTCTGTCTCCTCTCGCCCGGCTTTATGCCCCTTCAGGACACTTGTTGGGACTTACCTACATATTTGTCGGCTTACTGTTTGTCTCCCTTGGTGAGAACAGGGACCTTGCCGCCTCCTCAGCTTCTTGCACAGGGCCTGGCACATACTAGGTGCTCAGGAAATGCTGTTGAATGAACACCTGCTGGCAAGCCCCAGTTCTCTGGCCTCTGAGATGAGGTCTTCCAGGCCCTGGACACAGGGCCCTATGGGTGTAGAGCTGTCAGCTCCCTGCATAGCACATGCCGAGCCGAGGGGCCGCCTGTCAGCTCACTCCACCTCCACTGAACATAAACAGAAAAGTTAGTGACAGCACAGGACCTGTGGCATGGAAACCGTCTTCCAGAGAGGAAACAGTGAGAATGTGGGGAACAGGTGGGTGGTGGGAAGTACAGGGAGGTGAGGCCTTGACCACCAGCCCCGGCTCCCTGGTCACTGCTCCAGCCACTCTCCTTCTCACTTCTGCCCTTGGCCTCCGCCCTTTCTGCCCGTCTCCCTGAAACATGCTGCCCGCCCTGATCTTTGCAGGGCTGTTTCCTTCTCATCTCAGTTCAAGAACCACTGCGTCCAGCTCCCTTTCCTGAGCGCTTCCCTCCTAGTCCGCTCGTTTAGTGTCAGTCTAGCATGGGGGGGGTGCTTACTCCATGTCATGTGCTGTCTTCCGTGTATGGCCTCATTCATCCCTCACCACAGTCAGTGGTCAGGTGCCATTGTTGCCCACTCTACAGATGAGGGAACTGAGGCTCAGAGAGGTTAAGACACTCGCCCAAGGTCACCCACCAGACAAGTGGCCAAGCTAGGTTTCAGCAAGCGCAGGCAGTCTGACCGACTCTTACCCCGCTCACTCCTGCCCCGCCAGACTGTTAGCGCCCCCACAGCAGGGTCTCCATGGACGCGGTTACCCCTTGATGCTCCCTCCCAGCACAGTGCTGGGCACCGAGAAGCCTCTGATCTGTGATGAATGCCCATGTGTGCCGGAGCCGTGGGGCGGAGAGAAGGGCCAGCGGCCGAGGGGCAGGCAGCAGGGAGCTGGTGTGAGGCCTCCTCTTTCCACTCTGCCCCGGGCCCTGGTGGGTCCCAGGCCCTGGGAGGGGTTTTGATTTGCTCCTTACCCTCTGGGGGACGCATGGTCTGCAGCACTTGCCTCCCGGCCCTCCAGGGCCTCCCTGCTTCTTTCCCCGGAGGGCCCATCTAACGGTCCTCCTCTGCTGTACCCAGAGCCTGGACCCCTGGCTCCCCTTCCACCTCCTCTGGCCTGCTTTTGGAAGGGGGTCTATGCCTGGTCCCACCTCTGGCTACAGCCCCCAGGGAGAGTGTCCGCGAGGAAGTGCTGTGTCTCTCCCCTCCTGTGCCCCTGAGCACCAGACACTCCAGCCACACTGCCTGACCCAGTCACACTGATGCTTCTTCACTGCTGATCCCTCAGGACTCAGGAAGTACCACCCCTTCTTCACGACCCAGCTCCTGTGCTGAGTCAGCCTGGCCAAGTAGAAAAGAGCACAGGGCTGAGAAGCAGTTCAGCCTGCACTGCTAACAACAGCGTCACCTCATTCTGAGCCTCAGTTTTCCGACTCTGTTCATTGGGGGCAGTGCAAATTGCCCTCTCTGGTTCAGGACCTCTGACAGGGCAGAGCTGTGAGCCAGGATGACTGCACTAGGACATTCCCAAATCAGGACTGCTAAATGTGTGGCCCACGGCCCACTTCCGTGCGTGGCTGAACCAAGACACAGCCCCATAATCCTTTTTCTTTTTTTAATTGAAGAAAAATTCATGTAACATACAATAAACCATTTTAAAGTGTACAATTCAGTGGCAGTTAGTGTATTCACAGTGTTGTGCTACCACCACCTCTCCAGTTTCAAAACTTCCTCATCATCCCGTAAAACACCCCGTTGCTATTGAGTAACCACTCCGCATTCCCCCCCGCCCCCACGCCCCTCAAGCCTGCTTTCTGTCTCTGTTATGCATATCATACATACAAGAAATCATGTAATACTGACCTTTTGTGTCTGGCTTCTTTCACTCCTTTTTTCGCGTGTTTTAAGATTCATCCGGTTGTAGCAGGTGTCAGAACTGTGGTCCTTTCTATGGCTGAGTAATATTCCATCGCGTGGATATGCTATGACTTCTACTCATTCATCCACTGATGGACATTTGGGTCAGAATCCTTCTGAACACAGAGAACAATGAACCAGTGGTCCCCCAACTTTTGATCATGTACCCCTTCAGGAAAAAAATTTTTGAATCCTCCCATTAAATGTAGATTTATTTGTTTTATATATGTTACTACTACACTAATACATGCAGTGCATGATAAAATTCATGTAAAGGACAGACGTCTTAAAAAGATAAGATAAAAAAATAATAATGCTTCTCATATTTTCCCCTGACCTGCGTGGGTGATAACTGAGGCTGAAAATATATTTGGCTTATATTGAAATTGAAGTTTCTTATTATAAAAAACTTGGAATGCAAAAAGGAGTGGAAAATGGACAATAAAAATGCCCTCTGGCCTCTGCCTTCTTGTGTGTGTGTCCGCTGGGTCTGAGCCTCTTCATCCTCACAGGTCCAGGGCAGGTGGGAGGCAGGAGGAAAACGCATGAACTGTAGAGTCAGGTCCCTGGGTTTGAAGCCAGCCTTGCCACTTACCAGTTATGTGACTCCTGGCACATTAACCGATACCTGCACTTTATTTTATTTTATTATTATTGTTTTTTAAAGATTTTTATTGGGGAATTGGGGGATGGGAACAGCGCTGGAGAATTGGGGGAAGGGGAACAGACAAGTTGCTATCCTTTTGTTCTTTTGTTCTTCAGTCTAGTTGTGGAGGACGTTGCTTCACTGGCCCAAGTTGGCACCATCATTGCACTCTTCCCGGGTGAGGCAGATTAGTTGCTGGCTTCTGGACGGCCGCTCACTGCGGCTGCTGGCCGCTCACTGCGGCTGCTGGCTACACACGGTAGCCCGTGGCAACCCACTGCAGCAGGGGCTGCAGCCTATGCTGTCGCTGGTGACTCATGGCAGCCCAGTTCCAGGTTGAGCTGTTGTTCAGCATTTTAGCTGTAGAGGGCAGTGTCACTGGCCCTCATATGTGGGATCCGAACCGGGGCCCTCTGGCGTCCCAAGCCAGCTCTTAACCAACGCGCCACTTGGCCGGCCCCGATACCTGCACTTTAAATGCCTCATCTGCAAAATGCTGGTGATGCTGATTTTGTGTCAGGTAGCTCTCGCTGTGTAGCAAGTCACCCAAAAATGTAGTGGTTTAAAACACAAACCTTGGTCATCTCACAGTTTCTATGGTCAGGAATCTGCTTCGCTATGTGCCGCTGCCTCAGGGTCTGTCACAGGCTATAACTGTGGTGTCAGCCAGGGCCACAGTCTCATCCGAAGGCTGAGGATGGAGCCATTTTTAAACATGCTTACGCGGTGCTGGCAGGACTCGCCTCCTTGTGGGCTGTTGGGCTGAGGGGCTCAGTTCCCTGCTGGCTGTTGGCCGGAGGCCTCCCTCAGTTCCTTGCCAGGTCGGCCTCTCCATAAGGCAGCTCAAAACATGGCACCTGCTTCCATCAGAGCGAGCAAGTGAGGGGGTTAGAGAAGGTGGGCAAGACGGAAGCCAGAGTCTAGCTCACCACAGAAGTGACATCCCATCACTTTTTGCCATGTTCTGTAGCAGATCGCTAGACCCAGCCTACAGTTCAGGGGAAAGCGTCTGCACAAGGCATGATTACCAGTAGGTGGGGGTCCTGGGGCCATCTCAGCTGGCTGCCAACCCACCTGAAATAGACCTGTTGGGGAGGGTTGTTGGGGGCGTTAAATGAGGTACCATGTGTAACACACTCAGGGTGTTATAGGTTGCCCTGTAATTGGCAGGATTGTCACTAGTGTTATTTTCATCCATCATGCCTTCCGCTTGCCAGAGCCTGGGCAACAGGGAAGGGGGTGGGACCCAGGACAGGGCCTGAGACCCCAGAACAGCCTGTGGCTCTGTGGAGGGGAGGGGAGCCGAGATGGGGTGGAGGCGTAGCAGGTTCATGGCCCAGGAGGGCATGAGGCGTCTGGTTCTGGGGGCCCAGGTGCAGTCCTAGAGGAACCTGGTGTCAGGGCCCAGGAAGACCTCTCAGGACCTGGCTGGTGGGGCTGAGCCACATCTGCGGTCAGAGGGTCCTCAGTGTGGGGCTGAGGAAGGAAGCCATGGACTCTGCCCTGTGCTATGTTACCCCAAGCCCGCCCTCTGAAACACCTGCTGTTTGAGGTGAAGAGGGCTCACGGAGGGGCAGGTAGCAGGCTGAGGGCTATTGGTGGCTCCCCAACCAGGGCTGGTAGTGGGTGGGACCTGCCCAGGTCTCATGCCTGCCCCGCCCCTCCCTGCCCCCCTCAGGTGTTTTCCATCGTGGTGTTCGGCTCCATTGTGAACGAGGGCTACCTCAACACCCCCTCGGAGGGGAAGGAGTTCTGCATCTACAACCGGAACCCCAATGCCTGCAGCTACGGCGTGGCCGTGGGCGTGTTCGCCTTCCTCACCTGCCTGCTCTACCTGGCCCTGGATGTGTACTTCCCACAGATCAGCAGCGTGAAGGACCGCAAGAAAGCCGTCCTGTCAGACATCGGTGTCTCGGGTGAGCCCCCACCCCAGAGGGCACCCCCTCCACACAACAGAGTCTGCAGAGGGCTGTCCCAGCCCTATTCCCGTTAATCCTCACGCACACCTATGCGGCCGGTGAAGGGACAGGCTTGGGGTCACAGGACTGGCGACCGGGAAGGGTAGGACCTGGGCTAGCCTGAGCCTCCAGAGCAGCCCACAGCTCCACAGCGGGGAGGGCAGTGCGGCATCCAGGGAGCCGTCTCTGCTCTGAGTGGCCTCTTCTGTGCCACCTCCCTGGTGGAGCCTCATGAGAACTAAACAGCAGTGACTGGAGGCCCTGGCGCACGGTAGGTGCCCTGGGAGGGTCAGAGCCTGGAGCTGGAAGCTGATGTGACCTGCTGCCCTTGCCTTTCACAACCGGCCTTGGCAGAGGAACGCTGAGCTTGGTCCCACGAGTCCAGAGAATCTGACTGGTAGAGGCTTAGGTTGGGGGTCAGTAAGACTTCCAGTCTCTCTGGCCTAAGGTCATGGTCCCAGGTCTCTGGTGGGGCCCTCCCCCCATTTCCAGGCCTGGGACCCTCAGAATGAGCCCAGCAGCAAGGTCTGGGGTCCCTTAGATTTGAAGGAACTAGAACATAATTAATAGTTCTCAAACTGTATTCCGTGGAGCCCCAGGGTTCCCCAGCAGTGCCTCTGGGAGGGACTAGGCTCTAGACACCCCACCCCCTGGGCGCACACACACACTCTGTGTGAGCAGCTCTGGTCCTCTCTGGATATGACCCTGGGCACCATAAAAGATCTTGTCACCACAAGGTTCCCACTGCTGAACTCTCCAGATCTCGGCTCTCAAAGGGCCCCTCACTAACCTCGGGGACTATAAAGCTGCAAGCCCATTAGACGCTGAGACTCAGACCTGCCAGAGTTGAGCCCCTCCCATCCTCCTCCCCTTGCCCAGTTCTCTGTGAGGCTGTAGTGGGGGGTGGGTTGGGGGTGCTCCTCCCAGAATGCTATAGGCGTTGGAGTGGACGGTGGGCGCGTCAGGGATAGCTGGGAAATCTGTGTTTGGCTGAGATTGGAGAAATGCTGGCCTAGGCTGACGGACTTTTTCTCCCTCCTTCCCTCCCCCCTCTCCCCCTCTTTCTCCCTCCCTCTCCCCCCCCCTTTCTCCCTCCCTCCCTCCTCTCACTGCCCCTGGCTCTCCCTGGGCCCTGGCTGTCTCCTTTCCATGGTCTGTCTCTGGCTGTGCATCTGACTGGCCTCCCTGTTCTCACCTTCCCTTCCCTGTGCGCCCCTCTCTGCCCCCCACACACACACTTTGGGGGTGGGGGAGCATGGGAGACGTGCTCTATTCCTTGGTTTCCCCATTTCCTCCCCATTCGCCCTCTCTCCCCATGCGTGGCCTGCTCTGCCTGACTCTGGTGGGCACCTCAGCCTTCTGGGCCTTCCTCTGGTTTGTGGGCTTCTGCTACCTGGCCAATCAGTGGCAGGTCTCCAAGCCCAAAGACAACCCGCTGAACGAGGGGACAGATGCGGCCCGGGCCGCCATCGCCTTCTCCTTCTTCTCCATCTTCTCGTGGGTGAGTATACAGCCCACACTTGCCCGCCCAGCCAGGCTCCTGGGCTGGGGCCTCCCATCGGGCTGGGGCCTCCCGCATAGCCAGGGACTCCATTCTCTTCTCTCCTCAATGTTCACGGCGGGAGGGCTTCCCCCTGAGGAAGGAAGCTGTTGTCACTGCCAATGAGGACAGTCGCATGGTGATGGCAGACCCTTGTGCAGAGCGCCCACCATGGCAATTGGGTGGTGGGCAGACGAGGAGGCTGCAGCCTGCTCAGGAAGATAAAGCTTTGAGGTTCCAAAGCTGGGAAGGAGCCCAGGCCTTGGAGTCAGGATACCTAGGTCACACCTTGGGGCAGCCTCCAATTTTCTGAGCCTCTGTCTCCCCATCTGTAAAATCAGGGTATTGGATTTGGCGGAGGCTGTCATAAACTCAGCTGCCCGCTGGGCAGGACATGTGAAGGTGCGAGCAGGCCGGGTGGCAAGCCTACACCCACCCCAAAAGGAAACTCTCTGCTCGGCCCCCATACTGAAGCAGGAATAAGCACCCACAGCCTCTTCTGTTTTCCAGAGAAGCCAAAAATCTGAACTTCTGTATGAAATCTGATCTTTATGTGTTAGCAATTTATTCAGATTAAAAAAAATATTTGTGGGTCAAGGAGATCATGTCTCTGGGACCCACTGGCCAGAGGGAGGCCCTGTGGCTTCTAAACCCAGAGGTCTCGACAGCAAGACTGCCCCTGGAATTGAGATTCCAGGTCATCTCCATGGATTTCTTTTCTCCTCATCTCCCTCCTGTAGCTATCTGAGGCCACATGGCTCCATGCCCCCACCCTAGGGCTCTCCCCCATCCCCTTTGGGCTGTCCAGTAATCCTCAGCCCAACCCTCTGCAGGGAGGGGCCTCCAGGGCTCTCTGTAGGCAGCCAGCCCCCCTCTGCCCTCACCCTCCTGGTCCTGCGCTGGGGCAACTTCTTTCTCTTTTTGAGGGCTCCTAGATATTGCTCCTGGAACCCCGCCCCCGCCCCCCCTACAATATTGGGAGCTAGTTTGGAGGAGAGCTGTGATTCAGGCCCCAGCACGCCAGCCATGAGCACTCCAGATCTCTGTGTCTTCAAGGCTGGGCAGGAAGAACCAGGTGACCCCAGGGATCTCAGACCAGAGAAGGTGCCCTGAAAGTGGGGTCCACTCAGCCCTCCTGGGAGGAGTTTGGGAGCAGTGAGCCCTAAGATGGGGGTAGGGCTCACAGGGGAGGAGTGGGTGAATGGACAGCTGGACTTTCAGGGGGTGGGTCTGAAAGCCTGACTGACAGGTGCTCCCTGGCCCACTGAAGCCTGCTTCTCTGCTGGCTCCTCTGCCCTTCCCAGCTCTTCCCTGCTGTCCTCACCCCTGCTCTCTCCTGGCAGAGCCTGACCGCAGCCCTGGCCGTGCGGAGATTCAAGGACCTTACCTTCCAGGAGGAATACAGCACGCTGTTTCCTGACTCGGCACAGCCATAGGCCTGCCCAGCTCCCAGAAGCAGGGAGCCCTGTGTCCTGCCACGTGGCAGGGTTGTGGGGACAGTCCGCTCCCTGGAACGGCCAGGAGGCCAGGGCGTACAGGGCAGTGAAAGGCTGGCTTGAGAGGCCAGTTAAGACTCGCCACTCCGTCACTCACTGCCTCCTTTGTTTATTCTTCGTGTGTCTGTTCATTTAGTAAACATTTATTGAGCAGCTGTTTTGTGCCTAGTGATGAATCAGAGAGGGTCCCTGGCCCCAAGAGCCCACAGGCTGGGGAGGGGAAGAGAGACAAACCAAAATCTCCCCCAAATGGACTGCCACGGGCTATTTGAGGGTTGGAGCGTCCATACATGGGCTGCCAGGGTGATGAGCCATGGATGGTGTGGGAGCCTGTCCCATGGCTGTGGCACGAAGGCTGATGTTGATCTTACAGTCCCCGCGAAGGCTGACTGCCAAGGGGGCTTGGCCGAGGACATCAGAGGACTCCCGGCCCAGCCCTGCTCTCATGTGCTGTGTGACCCTGGGCAAACCCCTGCACCTCTCTGAGCCTCAGTCCACTTCCCTGGACTGAGGAGTGATAAGGGACCAACCTCTCAGGGCTGTTGTGTGGATGAAACAAAGGTTGGCACAGAGTTGCTCAATAAATGTAGGCTCTTTTGTTCTTTCATTCATTCACTCATTCATTTATTCATTCACTCATTCATTCATTCACTCATTCACTCATTCATTCACTCATTCTCTCCAAGGTGTCAGGGACACCTCTGTAATCTCAACTTTGGGGGTGAACCTCATGTGGTGAGTCCTGTTCTTCTAAAGGACTTTGGCCTCCAGTTCTGCACAGGTTCCCTTCTTGAGGCCCTCAGCTGCCTGGGCAGGAATCCAACTATCCCTCCACTCTCTGCAGGAGTCGAGGAGGTAATGGAGCACAAGCAGGCTCTCAGAGCAGAGCACACAAAGAATGAGCTTCCCGACACTGGAGGCATACAAGTGCAGGCTGCTTGCAGCCCAGTGGAGAGGCTCCAGAGAGTGTACCTGCTCTGAAGAAGCAGAGCCAGGTGGATCACCAGGTCCCTGGGCTCTGAGCAGAACTCTGAGCCTTCCCTTTGCACCCCAATCCAGCAGGGGCCCACGCCCCTCCTTTGCTCCTGTCTTGTGGCCCCTTAAACTTGATGGTGAAGGGAGGCGTTGACTTAGTGAGAGCAAAGGAGTCCCCACGTAGCCAGCACTAGGTGTCTGTAGCCAGAGGCACCTCCCTGATAGGATCCACTGAGGTCATCTGCTCTAGTCCTCTGTCTGCGTGCAGGAAACCAGCCTGCACAGTAGACTCAGGGAGCTCTGGGCGAACCAGGTCTGCAGATGTGCCTCTCAGGGACTCAATTCATTCATTCCCCGTGTGCTCTCTGGGCTTGCCAATGGCTCAAAGGTACTGAAGACCTGGCCGCTACCCCAGGGCCTTTTCACCTCCCTGCTTCTCAAGGCTCCTGCATCGGAGTCCCCAGCAGCCAGGACCTCATACCAACATAGTAGGAAATACAAGAGGGCCATGCCTGATTTCCTCAGCCCAACTCCTCTAGCCCCGCCCTTCCCAGGCCCCTGACACTTTGCTTTAAACAGCCACTTCCCAGCAAGGGCCGCCCCTCAGAGTTTTCTCCAGTGACACAAATCAAAAGTTAATGCCTGATCACTGGGCTTCTAGAATCAAATGCCAAGCACCTGCCTCTGACCTGATGACCCTTTTGGGTCCCTGGTTGATTTAGTGCCTTGTCAGGGTGCTGGTCAAATGGAAGGAGGTGGGAAGAGCCCTGGCCTAGGAAGGGACAGGACCCCTATGTTCAGGTCTGGCTTCTGGTGCTAACTTTGCCTTGAGGCCTCCCTTCTGTAGGCCTTAGTTTCAGCCCCGAAACGGGTATGCAGAGTGTTAGCATTTTTCTATCACAGGCAGATTACCTGGGCTGGAAAGATCTCGAGCGAGGCCTTCAATGTAAACCTATAAACTTTTTTCAATGGTAGATTGAATGTATCTCCTAGCTTGGTGTGGTTACGGTCATTGTCCTTAATAATAATACAATTGCTTTTAAGAAAAAGGACTTCCCACCTAGGCGTGTATGCTATAGATAAGTTTCTCCCAACGCTGACTTCAGTGGTCAGATAAGGTTGATGCACATGGCTTGCTGCAGTTTCCCCCTTGGGGATCCCAGCATACATTAAATAGCCAAGGCTCTGACAAGTCCTATGGTCCTGAAATGTGTTTCACTCTGTTTAACTTAGTTTCCCAAACTCATTTGACCAAGTTGTTTCAGTTAGAATTAGGTTCAGCAGCAAATGACAGAAATCGCCAGTAACAGTGGTTTAAATGAAGATCAAGTCTGGGGGGACAGTCCAGGGTTGGCGTAGTGGCTCCAGAAATCTTTAGTAACCAGGCCTCTTCCGTCCCTACAAGTTGGCTCCTGGACCTCATGGTCCATTGTGGCAACTAGAGTTCCAGCTATCACAACTGCATTCCAGGCATTGGGTCAAAGGGTGGGACAAAGAACTTGGGGTGACCCACTGGCCAGAACTTAGTCATTTGGCTGCACCAATTTTAGGAGATGCCAACAGTTCTCTGTCACCAAGAAACTTGTTTTCCCCATTGTACATAACACCCCTGAGACACGGTTTGAGAAGGAAGTTGTGGCCCTTTGGGCCATTTTAACACTCCACAGTGGAGACAGTAGCATTTTTGGTGGCCCAGAGTGACCTCTGAGATTGGGGGACATGGAGCAAGTGACATCTGAAGTTCTTTCTGGCTAGATGATACGGCTCTGGGCCTCTCCAGGACTGGCTGCAGAGACGGCCTCCCTTCCCTCAGTCAGGTGTGGGTTCATCTTTGGTGCTTTGAGGATATTTAACCCTCTATTGCCTGTGTCCTGTGAACTAACTGCCACTAACTAACCCAGTGCTCTTGTCTGTCTCTCCCCTAACCGCCCCCTCCCGCCTGTCCTCATCCCCACCGGCCTCCATCCCCAGGCGGGCCAGGCTGTGCTGGCCTTCCAGCGTTACCAGATTGGCGCCGACTCGGCCCTCTTCTCCCAGGACTACATGGACCCCAGCCAGGACTCCAGCATGCCTTACGCCCCCTACGTGGAGCCCAGCGCTGGGCCAGACCCCGCCGGCATGGGCGGCACCTACCAGCAGCCAGCCAACACCTTCGATACCGAGCCCCAGGGCTACCAGTCGCAGGGCTACTGAGCCGCAGTGACCACCTGCCCCCGCCTCCCCATGTCCCAGCTGCCCCCTACTCCCCTCCCTCCACACCCGACCCCCGCTCCCTCCCAGGCTGCCCTGCCCAGCACCTCACCAGCCTCCTGGTTGTTACGCTGAGGTCCAGGGCAGCTCAGGGCAGGGTGGGACAGTAAGGTGTGTGTGGGGTGGTGTTTACATGTGTGTGCAAGTGTGTCCAGCAGGGGCCTGGGGTGTTGACATTCATTTGTTGTATCATGGAGCATTCATTGAGTGCCTACTGTGTGTCCGGCCCATGCTCAGCATGGTTGTGAAAGAGAAATGGTCTCTGAGAAGGAGGAAGATGAGATGTGGAGGAGGCCCTGTTGGTACCAGCGGTAGGAATGGTGGGAAAGGTAGACCGGGATGATGCTGGGAAGGTTTGAATGCAGGGTGAGTGTAAGACACTGGGGGCTGCCATCTGCTAGGAGTGGTACAACAGCCCTGCTAGAAGTGTTGAGGCTGTCTTCATTTTATGGCTGAGGAAACAGTCCTGGAGAAGTCAACATCACTTGCCCAGGGTCACCTAGGCAGCCAGTGACGGAGGTGGGGCCAAGCCCAGGCCGCCTGACTGCAGAGCACCTGCTGTCCCCTGTCCTCCCTGCCTTCCCTCATCCCCGAGCTTGGGGCGCCACTGCTCAGTGCTCCCGTTACTCTGGGAGGCCTTGGGGACCGCAGCCCGTAAGACACCCTGATTCTGCTGCAAGCTAGGGGCCTGTTCTGCCCCGGCTCTTCCCCAGCAGGACAGCCCTGCCTCCAGGCCCTCTCCCCGCATCCCTACCGGCCCCTCCCAGGGTGGGAGTTTCCCTGTGTACCACTCCGTGCTGTGTGTGTCCTCCCCTTTGTGGACTCCCGAAGGACTGGCCACTGTCCCTGCCTCTCGGATGGGCTCACTAAGACCCTTCTCAGGGCTGGGTAGACAAGGGGGCCCAGAGGGGAAAGCAGCCGGCCTGAGGTCACAGTGAGTGGCAGGGCTGGACTTGCTGTCTGGGTTCCTTGGCCCCAGCCACCCAGCAGGTGTCCCAATTCCCTGCCCTTGTGACCTCCCAGGAAACGGAACTGATCTGGGACAGTCATCTTCCCCTGGCCTTCCAGAAGGCCTGCCGGGGGACCGGTGTCCCCGTGGAAGGCTGAGTAGAGTGGACGGGTTCTGGACGCTAGAGTACTTGCTGTGGGACAGACTGCCCCAAGATGAACAGTGAGAGCCCCTGATGCATGGTAGGCCCAGGGAGGCCATGGGCTGTAGGGGAGAGGGTCGCAGGTGACCCCAAGGCTCAAGGAGGGTTGTGGGGGGCAGGGGAGGGGCTTTTGCACAAGGTGGGCTCTTCACTGAGCCTTAAGGGATGGAGAAGCCTTCAACAGTGGAGAGCAGTGCGAGGAGACCTGGGCCCAGTGCCAACCACCAGCACCACCTGCCCCCCACAAGAACCCTAAGAGGCAGGTAATAGTCACTCACCCATTGATTCAGCAGTTATGGGCCCCTGTGCTGGGGCTAAGGCGCTGATAGTCGATCAGAGAGGAGCACCAAGCCAACACTGGACCAGGGTGCGTTAGCGGGCAGAGGCCTGTGGGAGAGCACAGTGGACTGAGGCTCCCCGAGTAGGGTCCTGGGATGGCAGGACTTAGCACTGCAATGAGGGAAGGAGAAGGAATTTCCTGGGCAGAGAAGTGAAACCGCTGTCCCCACTTAACAGAAGGGGAAACAGACTCAGAGCGTGAGTTAGCAGCGAGGCGTGGATCCAAACTTAGGTCTGTCCCAGTCCTCCCAAGGGGCAGCAGTGACGAGAGAGGACCCCAGGCAGCTGGTTGTTTCTGACTTGAGTTTTCCACATCTGGGAAGGGGGTTATGTCTGTGGTTCCTTCTGGATGGCCCAAGTGGGGGCAGAAGGGAGTCATGGTATCCGCCAGGCTGTAGCAGACCAGAGGTTTGCAGAGCAGGTACGGGTGTAGGTGGGTGTGGATGTGTTTCTGGGAGAAGTACTGTGCCCATGCAGGAGGCTGTGAGAAGTCCCTCCCCTCCCCCACTCCCCACCAAAACCCTCCCCTGCTGGTGGGAACTAGGAGACCCCATGGTGCTCTCCATCTGTTCTCCCTGAGTAGCAGCCAGCTCTGGTGACACTGGGCTGCAGGGCAGGGTACATTTAAGCTTCACCCAGTCCCTGGGTGTTTATTGCAGACTCTCCCTGCCGCCCCAGCCTGGGAAAGTTTATAAGACCCCTGCCAGGAGTGGGGGGCACTGAGTCATCGCACTCAGCATTCCTCACCTGTCCTCAGGTACAGCCCAGACACGATCCCACCAGTAGGCTGGGCGCTGGCCCGGGCCAGCCCATGGTGGAGGTGAGACACGGAGGGCAGGGTTTGGATGAGACCCAGGCCTCCTGATTCTCCTACTGGCAGGTCGGTGGGGAAGCCTTGTTCTTCCTGTTAGCTGAGGACACCCTGGGAACCTCAAAGCCTGTGCTCACAGGCCGTCGGCATCCCCTTTTCTCTCCCTGCTGTCCCCCTCTGCCTCTCCCTTTCCTGCTTCCAAGTCTTTCCTGGGGGAAAGCCCCCTGCATCCTGACCTTACAGAGTTTGGGTTCCCTCCTCTCTTCAAGCACAAGAGACGGCCCAGGAAAACTGGGTTCCACATGAGTTTAGAGCTGCAAGAGTTGGGCCTGGAAGACGGTGACTTGTCCAAAGTCAAGCACAGAGCTAGAGGTTCAGGGTCCAGGTCTCCTGCCTCTGAGGTGACACTCGTCTTGCACAGTCACAGGCTGTCTGCCTGGGTGTGGCTCCTGGTCCACCTGAGGTTGTAACAATTGAGGGACTAATTCCCAGGAGACTGACATCTGCTCCCCACTCCAACCTTCCCTGGTGATTCTTGATCTTCAAAGACCTTTGTGGGGTCCCAGGCTTTCCCCATGTAACCAAGAGCCCCCATTTGTTACCCCTTGGGGGCCCCCTAACCTTGGCCCAAGACCCCTTTGACTCTCTAAGGAGCATCCCTTCCAAGAATTTGTGAAAAGGTGGGCTGGTCCAGCCGTCTCCCGGCGCTGTCTCTTGATGTGACACTCCCCCTCCCCTGGTGCCCACAGCCCTTGTCTGGGAGCCCCCGGCCCCTCCTGCAGCGTTACTGCCTGTGAATAGTATAAATATATATATTTTCTATATATAAGATGCATAATATAAGGCTCCACAAATATATCTCTGTGTGTGTGCGTGTGTGCAGTGAATGGCGGTCCCCATCCTGGGTCCCCACTCTGGACTTCCCCACCACCTGGTTAAGTCTCTCAAGAGTGAATCCAGTGGCCCTGTGGCACCCTCTTTTATGACATCCGTCCATTTGTGGTGAACCAAGTGAAGGTGGTGACTTCTGGTGACAGTAATAAAGTGAAGACTCAAAACCCACCAGCGGATTGCAGTGTGTCACGGTGTGTTTTTGTTCTTTGTGAGTGTGGCTTGGGACTGCCCATCGCTGTCTCTCCTTACCTGGGACATGCTTTATTTGTTCATCATTATTTAGCAAAAAATAGAATCATTACAGTTGAAGCCAGCACTCCCCAAACTTCACATGTGTGCGCACACACACAGGCTTACACGTGCACGCACACGTCACCATTCCTTATCTCGGCCCCTTCCCCACCCCCAACTTTACATGTGTGCACACGCACGCACACAGGCATACGCATGTACGCACACACCCCATCACCATTCCCTATCCTGGTCCCTTCCCCAGCTCCCAGGGGCAACCAGGATTAGGAGCTTGGCCTCATTTCTTTCGGACCATTCCCATGCTTCGACGTATGCATATGTTTGCAGGACGCTGCTTTTAAAGTTAGTGGCCCCAAGCTGGCACAATATTTATCCAGACCCTATAAAGCGCCAGATGCTGCGCTGGGCCCTGGGTATTCAACATGGAACAAGGCAGATGACCTGCCCTCAGAGATGTTTCCAGCAGGGGAGATGGACGTTAATCCCACATGCAAGCAACAATGTAAACTGTTAAGTACTGAACGAAAGTCATCAGATGCAGTCTAGACCAGGGCACAATGCAGCGCCTCTGAGCAGGTGACTCAGACCTGAGCTCTCTAGGATGAGCAGGGCTTTGCTGGCAAGGAGGTGGGCTAGTGAGTGTTCTGGAGAGAGGAACTGAAACACGAGGTCCCTGGCTGGGAAGACCTCGGGAGCGGCAGACATGTAGAAGGAAAGAATGAGGAGGGAAGGCCAGGGGGTACTCAGGTCCCATGGCTAGGAACCTGAGGCCCCCGTAGGAGGTCTGGTTCATACTAAGTGATGTGGAACCACAGTAGGATGGGTGACCATCCCGGTGTGTGCTTTAAAGACGACTCTGGTGGTCAGATTGCAGTCAAGAGATGGCTGCTGCCCGTTGTTTAGACAGGGTCAGTATGGTGATGGGAAGAGTAGAAGTCAAGATATATTTGAGGAAGCAGCCAATCAGTAAATGATGGACTGAGGAAAGGAGGGTGTGAACGATTCTCATATAGAAGAAGCGCCCACAGGGAGGAGCAGGTGACCTCTGGCCTCTGTATGGGTCTGTCAATCAGGGTGCTGGCCACACCCACACTCCTGTTCATCTGCAAGTCCCACCTTAGTCCCGCTCTGATAAGCATCACTAGGGCTCTGATTGGACAGAGGTGAATATCTGATCCACTGGTGGCCCCTTCGTAGGCTGACAGGTTCCAATGTCTTGGTGCCAAGGTCCTTACAACAGGGGCCGATGACTAAGCCAATCACATTGCTTCCCTCCACGATGGTACAGAGGGATTGGTCAATCAGGGTGGGAAGAAACTCTGGAAGAGGTGAGGGTTCAGAGAGAAAGTGGAGAGAGTGGCAGGTTCCAGTCTACCCAGGTTCTACGCCCCCTTAGCCTTAGGAGGTCTGGGGGCTGCAACTGCTTGCAATCAAAAGAGCCCCATAGTCAACTGTAATTGAAAAATAAAATAATTCGAAAAAAAAAAAGAGCCCCACCACCCCCGGAAGGCCTACCCTTGAGGCAGCCCACCAGAGCAGACCCTTGGGACACCATGGGCGGTGCTCTAACTCCCAGTCAAGCCTCACATCTTGCTCAACCTGGGCCTCACCTGACTTCCCCCCAGTCTTTAAGATGAATGGAATTGTGATCACTTAACAGTCACCCAGCCCTCCCTTTGCACTTTCTGTCCTCCTCATTATTCAGGTGTTTAGTCCACTTGTTACAGTTACCAAAGCACTTGTCACATACCTTACCTCCAAAGGACTTCAAAAATTGACCCACATCCGAAGGACCCAGATATGCCACCTGTGGTGTGTGTGGGGGGAGCAGTTCAGAAGAATGAATCTCAGATCAACAAGATGGCTTCCAGGGCCGGCTGTGTGGCTCAGTTGGTTAAGAGCTCGCTCAAGAGTGCGAGCTCTGAAAAACAACAGTTTGATTCCCGTCCCGAGCTGAGCTGCCAACAGGTGGCAGGATGGCTCAGCTAAAAACAAAAAACAAAAGAGATGGCTTCCAGAAAGGGATGAGAAGGACATCACAGTGGAGAGTGTCAGCCTTCTAAGTTGACCAGCCATCCACACTGACGTGGGTTTTAAAAAGTTATAATGCGATGACCATTCATTGGACTGGAGGGCAGTCAGTAAAAGCCTAAAAGCGTTTTAACAGAGTCAGGACCATTTGGGGAAATATGAAAATCCTTTCAAAGAAATACTAGTTTTCAGAATCAGAGCCCCTACAAAATTTGCAGGGCCTAATTCAAGAGGAAAATGCAGGGTCCCTTGTTCAAAAAGCAGTAAAAAACAAAACAAAACAAAAACCAAAATGCAGTTAAAGAAAGTACTAAAACAAAGTTTTTTCCTTCCAAAATATTTCATTACTTATAAAATATAATGGGGTAACAGTGATATACGACTAATACCATAAACTTAAAATGGCACAAATTTAATATTTTGTCGTAATTTTATATAATACAACAAATAACATTAATATGATCTCTGATCATTAGCGTTTTCTGCAAATTCATTTATTAGGTTGTCAAAATAATACTTTTGCCAACTTCATTTCAATTGACATACAGGCATGCCTCATTTTATTGTGCTTCACTTAATTGAGTTTCACAGGTGTTGCCTTTGATTTACAAACTGAAGGCAAGACCCTCCACCAGCAAAAAGATTACCACTTGCTTTATTGCGATACTCACTTTATTACAGTGGTCTGAAAGTGAACCCGCGATATGTCCAAGGTCTGCCTGTACTTGAAAGCTATGACAGTCATTCCTGGCAAATGCAAGGTCACAGATAATTTGTTATAAGTTTTAATTTGGAGAAGGATCTTTTTGCAGATGCAACTGTGACTGAAGTTGTTAAGAATATTTCATAGGCTTTCACATTAGGAGCAATTTCTCATAAATTATTTCAAAATATAAATTTTAGTACATTTTCTATAACTGGTGGAGGTTGGACAAGAAATTGAAACTGACTTCATGGTTTGTATATAATTTTAATAACCTCTATGCATTTGATTGTTGTATCTTCAATTACAAGGTAAAATTTTTTAATTGCCTTCCTCAATAATGAAATGTCACATGAAAATAGAACTCTTTTCTATAGAATGTGATCTTTAAACTTAACTTCTGTTTCAAAGCCTGTGAATACTTCTTTGCTTTGCAATGTTGCAGCAGTTTTCAAAACCAGAGACATTAAACTCTGAGGAATTCTAACTCTCTAATGAGCTTTATTGCAACATCCACGGCTTTATAATAATTTACTGACAGTTTACTGCGTGAGTGCTGGCAGTTCCTGCTCCAGACGTAGGCTGCAGAGCTTATATTTGTGTAGATGTTATCCATGTGGGGTCCCTTCTCTCACCGTGGCCTTGGTGGACCGCAGCCATTTTCTGCTGCTGCCCATCTGGGCACAGATCCTGGCCCAGCCACCTCTCTGCAGCCCCACGGTGTCCCAGACTGCCCAGCCATGCGGGTGCATGCCAGGTGGCCAGGCCAACTGCTCAGCACCCATGCTGCCCACTACCCACCGTTCTTGCTGGCCGGCGCCTGCTTGCTGCCACCTGGTGCATCTTCTGTGCTCACACATATGCTTCATTATCCCATGGAACTTCCCTTCAAAAACGCAAGTTCAAAGAGAAAATATTAAGAATTTTAAGATGCCAAAAGTAGAGCATTAAACCCAGAGCTGAGTCCATTCTGAGAGTGATGCCCTGTGTGACCACACAGGTCACAGGCCCATGAGTTCAGCCCTGCCCAGAATACAGATTCCAGTCCCCTCCCCACTCTGTTTCCCCTTTATCCAATTCTGAATCCTCTTTTTCTTCTTCTAGTCTCCTTGCCAATTAAGCAGCTACACTTGTTTGTGGACCTATAATATTGTGCTATAATAAGAAATATATATTTGGTCTTCATCCAGCCCAGTTCCTGACACAGAGCTCCTAAAATCCTCAGAATTTCTGAATGATGAGGTTAAAGGGAGCATCTTTTGTTATTCATTACAAGCCCCTTTCAACCTCACCTGACTGTACTTTAATGAGGTGACTAAGAATGTGAGGTGGTTGGTTGCCAGGGGAACAAGCCCTGTGATTAGAGGGTTGGAACTTTCAGCCCTATCCCCCTGACCCTCTGGGGGCGGGGAGGGGGGGGCCGGGGGGAGAGTGGCTGGTGATGGGTCAATTACCAACAGCCAATGATCTAATCAATCATGCCTATGTAGTGAGGCCTCCCATAAAAATCGTAACCAAAGGGGTTCACAGAACTGGTAGGTTGGTGAACACGCCAAGGTGCTGGGAGGATGGTGTGCCCAGAGAGGGCAGGGAAGCTCTGCGTCCCCCTCCACATACCTTGCCCCATGCATCTCATCCTTTTAAAATAAACAGGTAATAGTAAGTAAAGCACTTTCCTGAGTTCTGTGACCCCTTCTAGCAAGTCATTGAGCCTGAGGAGGGGGTCGTGGGAACCCCTGATTTATAGCTGGTAGGTCAATGAGGACTTCCAATTAGCACCTGAAGTGTGGGCGCTATGGAGGGACTTGACCTGTGGGATCAGCCGCTAACTCCAGGGATAGTGTCAGAACAGAAGTGAACTGCAGGACACCCAGTGGATGTCACAGAATAGGTTGATGTGGGGAAAACCCCACATCTGGTGTTAGAAATGTTGGCGGGAATAGTAGTAGAGAAGAAAACAGTGTGTTTTTCTGTTAGGGCCAGGACTATGCTAAGCACTTTATTAGCATTGTCTATTTCACTTTTTTCAACACCTGTGACAGAGGCACCAAGCTGATACAATTCTACAGATGAGGAGCTGGACCAGCGAGGAGTGGCACTGCCAGGGTCACACCGGGCAGAGCCTGGTGCATCCACCTTCAAAACCTGTGCTCTGGGCCGGCAGAGTGGTGTGATGGTTAAGAGCTGGCTTGGAACGCCAGAGGGCCCCGGTTTGGATCCCATATATGAGGGCCAGTGACACTGCCCTCTACAGCTAAGATGCTGAACAACAGCTCAACCTGGAGCTGGGCTGCCTGTGAGTCGCCCGCGAAGGTGTAGGCTGCAACCCCTGCTGCAGTGGGTTGCCATGGGCTACTGTGTGTAGCCAGCAGCCAGCGTGAGTGGCCAGCAGCTGCCATGAACGGCGGTCCAGAAGCCGGCGACTAATCTGCCTCGCCTGGGAAGAGTGCAATGATGGTGCCAACTTGGGCCAGTGAAGCAAGGTCCTCCACAACTAGACTGAAGAACAAAAGGACAGCAACTTGTCTGTTCCCCTTCCCCCAATTCCCCAATAAAAATCTTTTAAAAAACAAAAAACAAAAAAAACCTGTGCTCTTAGCCACTTCACTGACTTTTGTTAAATTATCTTTTATACATTTTCGGTAACTCACATATCCTTCAAGCCTGCTTTATTCAAAAATCCTCCTAGCTCTGCATGGTTCTAGAACAGCAAAGACTTCAGCTTTGGTTACGTATCCATCCTCCCTGCTTACCCATCTCTGAGTTTTCCCACCTCTGTCCCAATTACATGTCCTAGAAATGCTACTTCAAACGTTAGAGAGGGCTCCGAGAAAACCAAAGGCCTTTTTCTGCAGGCTTTTTCAAAAGTCTGCAGGCTTTTCAAAAATGACATCAATCGGGCGGTGGCATCAGTTAAGCTCTCGCTGTCAACATGGCAGACTCCCAGGCCCATCCTTGGTGAGTCCATCTGGTCTCAAGGCTTTAAACACCCACTGTGTACAGACCATGCCCAAGTGTACATCCCCAAGCTTGGGCCACTTATATATCCAACTGCCTTCACACTGAGATTATCTAGTCGATGTCCCCCATTTCACATGCTCAAAGCCGAACTCCTGATGTCCCTCCCCAAAACTGCTCCTCCCAGTCTCCTCACCTCAGTGAATGGCAACTTCATCTTCCAAATGCTCCAGGCAAAATCCTTGGAGCAGCCTCGACTCCTCTTTCTCTCGTATTTCACATCTGACCCACGGGCAACTCCTGCCAGCTCTTCCTAGCTCTGACCAGCTCTCTCTCTCCCTCCACTGTGGCCAATCTAGTCCAAGCCACTCTCATTCTTCTCCTGGACCAGGGCAGGAGCTGCCCATATGGCATCTCTGCGTCCACCCTGGTCCCCTCCAGTGTGTCCTCGACACAAGCAGCCACAATACTCGTTATTATCACAATAACTTCTCCCGCTACTGTGCTTAAAATGTGCCACACACTGATCTATGTGCTTTCATTACATTAACTTTATTTAACCCTCACAATAACCATACAAAGTGAGTACTATTCTTATCCCCATTTTACAGATAATGAAACCGAGGCACAGAGAAATTAAATAACTTGTCCAAGGTCACCAAGCTAGAAAGTAGTGGAATTGGAATCTGAAGACCAAGGAATTCTTAGACACCGAGCTTTTAAAATACATGTCAGATCATGGTCCTCTGCTCAAAACTCTCCAGAAAGTTTTCCTTTCTCAGCATAAATTCCGGAGTCTTTACAATGGCCTACATGGCCCCACAGGTTCTGCCTCTGCTACTTCTCCTATCCCATGTTCTGTCTGTCTCCTCCTTGCTCCAGCCACACTGGCCTCCCTGCTGTTCCTAGAACACATCTAGTATGTTTCTGCCTCGGGGCCTTTGCACAAGCTGTTCCTTCTGCCTGAAATGCTCTTCCCATCTCCAGGTCTCTGCCCACATGATACCATTTCAATGGGACCATCCCTGATCACACCTTTTAAAAATGAGTCCCCATCCCTGCTTTATTTTCCTCCATACCACCTTCTACCACTTGACATCTGTTTATTTTTTTATTGTCTGACTCTCCTCATTGAATGTAAGTATCACGGGGGCAGGGATTTTGTCACTGCCCTATCCCAAATACAAAAGTACCTGGCATAGACACAGTAGGTACTTAATGGAGAATTGTTGAGTTAATGAGTTAATCTTCCCACCAAACCTCCTTCTTTCCCTGTGTTCATCATCTCAAAAAAAGGTACCATCATCGAGGATAATACCATCTCCCGAGGGGGTATTATCCAAGATTTGTCCCTCTCTTCAAAAATCCAAGCATCTGCCAGATCTTGTTGACTCAGCTTCCTAACTATTTTTCAAACCATCCATTTCCTGCCATCCCTCTGCCATTTCCTTGGTTCTGCCCTTCTATAACAGGCATCGCAAATGCATACAATAATACACTGAATTTGCACACTTGGAATTTTTCAGTGTCCTCTCCACCCCCACCCCACTCCACTGATCCCCAAGTCCTCCCAGCCCAGGTCCAAACCTGCTCCTTCTCTAGGGCTCCTGTTTCTGTAACTCCACTCACATCAGCCTGGCTGCCTGAGCCAGGCACTTGGGAGCCATCCTCAACTCCCCTCTCTTCCACCTCCAAGCCACTGCTGTTCCTTCTATATCACCTATCTGGTTATTTCTGAAAACTGCCCATTTCCTTTCATCCTCATGGCCACCACCCTAGTCCCGGCCACCACCCATCTTATCTGGGTTATTTTGGCAGCCCCCTCATACTAGTCTCCCTGCCTGCTGCCTGGCCCCAGCGATCTTCCTAAAACTTAAGTATGATTACGACTCTCCCACTTAAATGACTCTCCACCCTTTCTCCTGCACCCACACCCTCCCTGGTGTGTCATCCCAGCTTCCCGCCACACTCCACTTCTGCTATCGCTCAACATGCCCCCTGCCCCCCAAAAACACAGGCACACTCTGATCATGCCATACCCTTGGCCTGGGATGCCCTTCTCCCTTTTCTGCCTGCCCAATTCCTCGCCCCTCCTAGGTGAGCTCCAAGGTCACCTCCCCTGTGAAGTTTTCCCTGAACCCCTCCCCACAACTTCCCCAGCACTGTGTAATTACCATCTTGTGTGTGTGTGTGTGTGTGTGTGTGTGTCGGGGGGGGGAATTGCTGTTATTGCTGTGGCAATAACAGATCAAAAAGCAGTTTGGGGGCCCAAAGGTATGGCCTTAGTAAGTCACCTTCTGTGTATCTGGATCTGTTCCCAGAGTCCCAAGGTCAAATGGTAGAAGCATATGGCATGAAGAGGTGGAAATGGGTCTGGAAAAGAGAAGGAGAAGGGAAGAGAACCAACATCTCTGGAGCAGATTCTATATGCTCGTGCTATGTTCCCGGCTTTGAAGATACTAACTTTAATTGTCAGAGCAGCCTTGGGAACTAGGGATTTTATTTATTTATTTATTTTTAAAGTTGAAAATTGAATTCCTTATTAATATAATCATACAAAAGTTATTCAGTTTTAAACTTATAAGCCATTAGTATATTTAACATCTGACAGTATTTTATGCACAGGCAGGGATAGTGGCTATTACCAAACCTGTTGAAGACTTTGTTCTTAATATTTGGTCATTGTTTTGCTTTTTGTTTTTTTTTAAATTTTATTGTTAGTTTTAGGTGTACAGAACAATGCAATAGTTATCCTTTTCACCCTCACAAAGTAACAACCCCCCTCCCCCCTCTACAGCTAAGATGCTGAACAACAGCTCAACCTGGAGCTGGGCTGCCTGTGAGTCGCCCGCGAAGGTGTAGGCTGCAGTCCCCTGTGGCAGTGGGTTGCCATGGGCTACCGTGTGTAGCCAGCAGCCAGCGTGAGTGGCCAGCAGCTGCCATGAACGGCGGTCCAGAAGCCGGCGACTAATCTGCCTCGCCTGGGAAGAGTGCAATGATGGTGCCAACTTGGGCCAGTGAAGCAAGGTCCTCCACAACTAGACTGAAGAACAAAAGGACAGCAACTTGTCTGTTCCCCTTCCCCCAATTCCCCAATAAAAATCTTTTAAAAAACAAAAAACAAAAAAAACCTGTGCTCTTAGCCACTTCACTGACTTTTGTTAAATTATCTTTTATACATTTTCGGTAACTCACATATCCTTCAAGCCTGCTTTATTCAAAAATCCTCCTAGCTCTGCATGGTTCTAGAACAGCAAAGACTTCAGCTTTGGTTACGTATCCATCCTCCCTGCTTACCCATCTCTGAGTTTTCCCACCTCTGTCCCAATTACATGTCCTAGAAATGCTACTTCAAACGTTAGAGAGGGCTCCGAGAAAACCAAAGGCCTTTTTCTGCAGGCTTTTTCAAAAGTCTGCAGGCTTTTCAAAAATGACATCAATCGGGCGGTGGCATCAGTTAAGCTCTCGCTGTCAACATGGCAGACTCCCAGGCCCATCCTTGGTGAGTCCATCTGGTCTCAAGGCTTTAAACACCCACTGTGTACAGACCATGCCCAAGTGTACATCCCCAAGCTTGGGCCACTTATATATCCAACTGCCTTCACACTGAGATTATCTAGTCGATGTCCCCCATTTCACATGCTCAAAGCCGAACTCCTGATGTCCCTCCCCAAAACTGCTCCTCCCAGTCTCCTCACCTCAGTGAATGGCAACTTCATCTTCCAAATGCTCCAGGCAAAATCCTTG